AATTTATATAAAAATAGTATTTAATTTTAATTCTAATTTTTTTTTATAATTAAATTGATTTATTACAAATTATATTATTTTAAATTTTAAAAAAATTACACTTAGTTTTAATATAGAATTTTCATCTAATTTTATTGCTAAAAATTTTAAACTTAAATTACTTTTTATATATAATTTGAATTTTTAAAGATATTTTATAATATAAATTAGTAAACTTATCTTTACAACTTTTATTAGAAATAAAATTAAATTTATTTAATAAAAAAAAAAAATTTTTATAAGTAAATATATTCTGTAAATTTACTAGTAAATGCTATAAAAATCTGGATTTTGCTACAAAACCTAGAACAAAAAAATTTTTATAAAATTTAAAAAAAGGTTTAAAGCTATTATCTTTTTTTTACAATAAGCCAAAAGGTTAAAGTATAATAAAAAAATATTTAATAAAGTAGTTTATTTTAAAAATAAGTAGATAACTTAGTTTAATGATATACTAAATCTAGTACAATGTACTAAATCTAGTACGCGTAAATCCAATCCATTAAATTAATAATTTGGCCATTTTTTGTTAAAACTTAAATTTGGCCGTACCATATATTAAAAATTAAAATTTTAAATTTGGCCACTAAAAATTTTCATTTGTGGAGACCGTACGTACGTACGTACTAAATTTCACCTGACAAAATAAATTATCAATTTTAGTCGCTGAGTTTTACAATATTCACATGACCGTTACCATCACTAGGGTACTCAAATCCATACTTCCATTTTTATCTTTGGCTAACCATTATCGTTATCGTTATTATAATTAAAATTTTAAACTTTATAGACACCCAACAAAACCAGTTTTTCTAGTAGTATATAGTTTGATATTCATCAAATATATTGTTGGTACTAAGTTTTTTGCACTGTATTAGAGAGATTAAAAGAAGAGAATATCCGAACTTAAACTCTTATGCGTCACTATGACTCAAATTATCATACGTAATGAAGTCATTCCTGTCGATGTAACGTAACACAGTGTTATTTCATTTATAAACGAATCGTCACATTTATATTTTCGCGGTTTGTTATCCCAAGTTCATATAATGACCGACGAGTGGACTTCTGTAAAAAATTCTAAAAATGCATCTCGTAATTATTCATCGTTCGGATCTCGTGGAAAAACCTTCCATAGACATAAAAATAACTCTACTAGGATGTCAAATTCATCCATAAATAATGGCGTAAACATTCATAACACCTATCCTGCGGGTTTCGATGAACCAATTTCTCCTTCCTCTTCTGGAACTATATCTCCTGATATGTCTCAGGAAATATCTACTTTACCATCATATCATATTGAATTATCTATTGAATGTCCTTTTGATTGCCAACCAAAAGTGACTATAAACAATAGTACAACCTTAGTGGACCATTTAAAAGATGCTCATAAATTACGAATTTCTAACTTGCATCATGTTTACTTGATCATTGAAGAATATCTGGGATTTTGGGCAAAAGAAATTACTAAGGACGGTGTCAAAGAACAATTAAGCGTTGATGTTGATGGTGGTAATTTATATTTTATCTTTACATAAATTCCGGTTTATTATTATTATTATTATTTTATTTCAATCAAGGATATTTTTATTGTTACCATTTTAGAAACTACTATATACGTGATTGACCCAGAAAAGCTTCCAAAAGATAAAAAAATTCGAGATAGCCTTCAACGCGATAAATTGGTATGCCTATAGAATTGGTTCATACTACCTTATTATTCTTCGATAATTTACACAAAAACAAAACCCTTTCAGAATAAAATTTTGCAAATACAAGCTAATGAACGTAACTATAACTCGAAACTAGAACGTAAATGTTTGTTTTGCAAGAATATTTGTGAAAATAGGTGCGTCAATTTCACACTTTCTATACATTACATAATTTCTAAATTTATTTATTTATTTATTTTTAAATAGGGTTGTTTTGTTTCGTCATATGTTTTCAGAACATAATTTTAATATTGGTCTTCCGGATAATCTCGTGAATGTTGATGAATTTCTTGAAATTCTTGAAAAAAAGCTGACGAGGTGCGGCATCTCCAACCCATTGATTGTTTTATAGTCAAAATCTTTTCAATGTATTGAATCGGTCAATTTTATTTATTTCTTCATTATCGTAAGCCTTCAATGTTTATACTGTGAGAAAATTTTCACTTCGTCAGCCGTGTTACGCAAGCATATGCGAAAGAAAAAGCATTTTAAGATTAATGCCAAAAATAGAATATATGACAAATTCTATGTGATTAATTATTTGGTATTTAAATTATATATAATTATGTATTATAATTATGTATTATGAAATCACATTCAACGTGTTGATGTGTTCCTTAGGAACCTGGGAAAAATTGGGAAACATTTGAAAAAGAGCGTTGTGATTCTGATGAAGAACATCATCGAGATGAGTACGTATATTTCCTTTTTTGGGGAATATATTTATGATTTTAAATTAAACTTCTTTTTTCAAAATGGTACCTAAAATATAATAGTTCATGGGATGATTGGGATGAAGAGGAATCACAACCGACAAATTGTCTTTTTTGCGACACTGTATCTCCAAGTTCTAAAGATGTGATGAAACATATGAAACATGCACATGGATTTGATTTGTTAATTATTAGGCGGGATCTTGGTACCATTTTATACAACAAATATTATTTTGAACGTGTAATATATTTTATTACATTATTAACACTATTATTACCATCATGAACCTATTCTAATAGGACTAGACTTTTATCAAACAATCATTCTAATCAATTATATAAGATACAAAACATCAAATAACATATGTATGGCATGTGATTCAACATTTGATGATAACCAGCACTTAATTAAACATATGAACGAAGGAAATTGTTTTGTCAAAGTTCCATCGTTGGATAATCTTATATGGAAAGATTCAAAGTAAACTATCAATTTTATTCTAAAATGATGTATCTTAACAAATAACAAATAATTATGTATAATAACTTTACGTTCATGTTAGATATCTATTTCCAACACAACCTAATGATCCATTGTTAGGTGGATTTGAAGATGATGAAATTAGTGATGATAATGTAAATAACGACAATGATATGCCATTAAACAATCCATATGATAAAATCGTGATACCCGAAGAACCACCCGAGGAATTGAAAGAAGATATTAAACAATTAATGGAATTGAAAAATAAAAGTGGGTCTAATTTAGTAGATATTGATGATGTATATAATGATGTAAATAATTGAATAATTTAATAATTCACATTTAAATTGATTTAAAGTGAATTGATATGGCGGTATAATTTAGGTTTAAATAAAGTTGATAAAGTTGATTTGAATAAATTTGGTTTCAAATGACTGGTGTAGTATTATCGATTTTGGTGTCTAATGGGATCTCAAGTCCTCTAATGAAATTGGTTAACAGTAAATGTTCTAATGATACTCTCAAGTTTGACTTCCAATGATTTTATAAAATTAGCCTATCATAGTGATAATTGGTTATGCTGCCACGCTGACTAACCTAGTCATTAGGTCATTTAGGTCATTTGACAATCCTGATCTACAGAGGTATCTTCACTTATCGTTCTAATTACAAAAACTTTTCTTTTTAATTAGCGATTATAATAATAAAATAAATTTAGTTGTTTATTTGAACCATTGAATATACATAAATAAAACTATATTCATTAGATTCCTCTTAATTTGTTCTTTACCATCCTTTTTTTTTTTTATTTTTTAACTAATTTTTATCTTGTACATATATACATATGATCCTTGTTACTTCAAGAGCGCATTAAAAGAATTCTAATAACATTTTGCTTGTGCGTATTTACTTTTAAGAAATATTACCATTTGAATTTTAGGTGTTTTTACTATTTACAATAGCAAATTATTAGTGGCCTACACTATCACTGTCATTGGCACTGGTTTAATAAGACACATGAGGTTGAGTCAGTAAAAAACAAAGCAAATTTTTTCTAAATTTTTTTAAAACTTTATTTAAATGACAATAACTCAAAAAAAAACAATTAAATTTAATAAAAAATTTTTTTAAATAAATTCTACACATTTATAAAATTTATTTAAATTTTTTTTTTATTAAATTTGATTAAGTTACTAGTGATTAAAGTTTTAAAAAAATTCAATAAAAACAATTTGCTTGATTTCTACTGACTCACCCCACATTAGTTATATTTACATATTTTCACAAAATAACGCGCATGCGAAAATACGGTAAATAACTATGGTGCGACAGCTTAGTCGCAACAAATATTTTATTATAAACTTAAAATTGCAAAAACTTTTTATCTAAAAGTTTAGTTACAAAAAAACTATATATTTAAGTAGCTTTTTATAAGATCTATTAAACTATGTATTTAGTTTGAAGCCCTTTTAAACTTTTATTAGAGATATTCTAATTTTTAAAAAATATAACTTTAAAATTTCAGCACTAATATAAAAAAACAAAAATTTAACCAATTAAATTCAATTTTATAAGTAATGATCAGCAAAATTTTCAGCACTACTTATAAAAATTTGACGAATTCGCACCATATATAAATTCGTTTGTAAGATTAAATTATCTCACCTCAATTTTAATTATTCAAGTTTCAAGTTTTAAATACAATTATTTTTTTTCATTATATTAGTCTTGCAATTTAGATACTAGATATAAACGGATTACGGACGTTTATTTTATTGAAAAGTACTGTCTAACAAATTTATTTTACAATAGAAATTTTGATATTAGAGATACTGTATAATATAGAAAAATGTATAACAAAATTTGTAGAAGTAATCCTGACAAATATCATTGCATTATGGTTTTTAAAATGAAATAATTAAATAACTAATAAAAAGAATTTTTTTAAAAACATTTTTTTTTAAGTTTATCCAAACAGAATTCTTGCTAACTATTCACTATTCTTATAAATTTGTCCTTTTTAAAGTCTATAATCGTTTAAAAATCTATCTTCCCAAAGAATACCAGTAGCACTAAGATAGATTGTTACTTTTATTTTTAGTAGTACGAAGTCTTAAACCGTTATTGCCGTCGGAATTAGCATCACGAATTCTGTAATAAATAGATCTGTAAGAATTTCCGTAAATAAAAGACAAAGCTTCTAAATCAAGGGATACTCACAATCTTAAAAAGGCTTCTTCTAAGCTCTTTTGACTTACGCCCCAAGCTTTAACAAGTTTCTTTCCTGGTTCGCTATTGCTCATCTCCTCATTTTCTTCCAACCATTGAATGAATGATGGTAAAGCTGGTAAGGCAGATAAAGGAAGTTCATAGATAAGAGAACCAGCTGAATCATCTTCCAATTTAGCATCAGGTACTTGAACTTCAACCAATTCCTTAAGACGTTGTGAATCATTGGGGTGAGTGACAAGAGACACACGATAACCGGCACCAAATTTATTTTTAATGCGCATAGAATTTCCAAGAGCACATAAACGACCATGGGCCATCACACAAATTCGATCACCTAGTACATCTGCTTCTTCCATAGAATGAGTTGTTAAAATAATAATCCTGCCTTGTTTAAACTTTTCAATAAAACTCCATACATGACGTCTATTAACTGGATCCATTCCGGTCGTAGGTTCATCCATAAAAATGATTTTAGGATCACCAATAGTAGAAATTACCATACTAAGGCGACGTTTCATACCACCACTATAAGAACCGGCCGGTTTATCAGCAACCTTAGTGAGACGTACAGCAGCCAACCGTTCCTCGACTAATTTCGCAATTTCAGCGGAAGGTATATTTTTAATACCTGCATAAAGTTCAATATGTTCTTTTGCCGTCAGATCGTTAAAAAGTATATCATGTTGAGGGCACACGCCCATGATTTTACGAATTTTGCTCATATCACCTCGAACGCTATATCCGTATAACAATGCGTCACCATTTGTTGCAGGAGTTAGCCCGGATAGGATGTTCATTGATGTACTTTTACCTGCACCATTCTGTCCTAATAAAGCAAGACATTTTCCTTCTTTCAAAGTCAAGCATAAATCATTAACAGCAATCTTATCAAATACACTTTTAACCAATAAATGTTTTCGATAAATTTTGCTGAGATTGCAAATTCTAACAACACATTCATGAGTTGAATCAAACGCTAGAATACGTTCACGAGCGACGTCCTCATCTTCTTCTTCAGTATGTTTACCAATGCTAGCTTTCTGTGCACGATTTATCCATGCTTGCAAATCAAGCGATTTTTTGAATTTAATTCCGTAATAACCAGGTGTCAAAAAGAAAAATGGATTCTTATAATTTCCAAATTCGTCAGGAATGATTTTGTCCATATACCATGTAAGAATACAATAAAAACCTATATTCATCAACAAGAAATACCAACTTTGAATTGGAGGAGGTACAGAAGGTCTGATATTAGAATCACTATAAGTTGGAAGATAAGTATCCGGAATCGTATTATAAAGATCATTCCAGGAAAATCCTGGTCCAGGGACAACAGTTTGAGTTAATCGATCAAGTTTTCCAGAAGTCAACATAGATAAATCCAAATAAAGTTTTCCAAAATTGAAAAATGGTAAGAACATAAGAATAATCCAGCCTATTTTATCAACAGATTGACTCCACCAAATGTAACCCACAAATGAATTAGAGAATACAAAAGATTGGAAAATAAGACCAATAATAAATATGAATATACCAACAAGTACAGCAACACGAGCACGACGACAAAATGTAGTGATAAAGAATGCAAAAGAGACCATAGCAAGACCAAAAAGAATAAATGTAATGAATAGAACAGCAAAGTTTGCATTTTTAAAGACAAAAAATTGAAAAGCAAGCCCAAAAGTGCAGGTTATCAACGAACAAATGACCACTAACCAAGCATTAGAAATGAAATAGCTTAACCAATAAACTTCAATTTTCAAACCCATCATCACCAAACTATCTACTAACTTTTGTTCTTTTTCAGTAACAATTGTGTTTAGAACAGAAATGAAAATGATCATTTCAGCACAAAAGAAAAATACAGCACCAAAAGATGTTACGATTTGATCACTAAGTTGAGAAGGAGGAACTTTAGGCCAATCCTTAAGTTTAATGTTAAACGTCGCTGGATTTTGAAGATCGTTACTAGCGAAAGTAACTATTTAGGGAAAATGCAAATATATAATGAATGAAAAGAATAAAGACATTAATAATATAAAAAATATAAAAATGTATACCGATAGCTTCATCAATTCCACGTTGTAAAGAAAGTACTTGTTCACCAAACACATCAGAACTATTTGCCATAAGAGTGCTGTTAAACCAAATCTGATATCTATAATTCACAGGAGGGCCTTGAACAGTACTGAACTCAATACCAAACATTGTTACATTTGGATGATTTAAAGTGTAATTGTAAATGAAGTCAGCATTAGTAACAGGAACAATTCCAAGCTTGGAAGTTGGTATAAAGTCAAGGCTAGTGATTGGAGTCTCAATGTTTAATTTGTATCCAGTCCGTTTGAAATTGTTATCTGCAAAAGCTTGCATTATCGTACGTGATGTTTGGTCATTTGGTGTATACATCAAATTGATACATGGGTCAGATGCTGTTCGTCCCTATTAATTGAGAATGTTATAATTTATCCATTTAATTTGCTTTGAAATCTTTAATTAAAAAATTAATGATTACTTGACAAGATTGAACTCCAAGCAGGGGATAAGCCGTTGGATGTAGATTTGACTTTAATAATTGACTATTGTCAGCTTGTTGTAAAATGTATAAAAGTAGCAAAAATATTATTGGGCCGATTAAAATTTGAGAGAGTGTCGATTTATAATATCGTTTCTATAAAGAAATTTTTTAAAATTTTTATTACATTGTTATAGATAATTAAGAAAATAATAAAGTCTTTACTAACTTGTAATATAAAATTTCTCCGAATCATAATCCATAATTGTCTAAAGAAAAGTAAGAATCCACCAGTCGAATGTATCGTAATTTGTTGTGCGGCAGTTTTATCTGTTGAGCCGACGACTGACGTTGATGAAAGCTCACTTTCAGACTGTGTGTTAATACCATGATTTGGTGTTAAGTAACCATTATCCATCGTTTTGTGGATTATAACTCGTTAAATTTGATAATATATATTACAAAACAGTTAAAAAAGCTAAAAAAATAAAAATGCCGCTTTTTTTTTGGTTTAAAATATAATACTTGAGGCAAGGATCATTGGCAAGAATGAATATTCAATTCAAGTATAAGCTAGTCATACGAAATGGGCATATTCATGATGATTTTAGTTGAATATCAATTGCATTTTTATTGGGATTGAAAAAATGTTTAAAAAAAGTTAAGAAGTTGAACACAATATATATTAAACATTACCATTAATGGGAATTGTTGGAAAATTCGGTTAAATCTCTCCGGAACGTCAACACAAAACCAAAAGAATTTACATATTAGGACTAGGTGTGTGTGACATGAAATAAATGCTTTTGAATATTAAGGTCCATAATCGAAGGAGTTTAATACCATTTGAATCATTTTACTAAGTGAAGGTGACTAAATAATTGCGATAATTGATACAAATATTTTAATCCAATGTTTTTCATTTTACAATTATGTCTTTGACCAATGTAATAGTAAACAAAAAAAAAAGAGCGAATTTTAAGAATCAAAAAATATATTACTCACCAACAACTTCCAATATACCCATTACTTTTCAATCATCCAAACATTCTGCTGTGCTCAATATTGAATATGAGGAGATTAGCGTTTATATTCATAAATTCTAATATATATTCGAGTAATCATAAATATATTCTCTAAAAAATACGCAAATAAATTTTATTCTTACTACAGTCATACCTGGGTTATATCACCCCTTTTATCCAGGGCATTTTTGGGGATATAACTAAGATAGGGATATATCTTAAGTATTACGCTTTGGTCACGTGACTATCGACCAATTAAATTTCAATATTTTAAAAATTAAATATATATTTAACAATCATAACTTTTGATCCAGTGATCAGATTTGGATGAATTTACCATCAAAATGATCGTCTTGAAGAGACGATTTCAA